TTGGTGAGGTTATCTCCAAGTTTCGATCCTTCCTTTGTTGGACCGGTGCGTCACATCCGGCAACAATTGAAGTCTGGTAGTATCATCGGGCCTTCCGCAACCCGTTGTGTCACCGTTCATCCCACCAGTTCTCAATCCTTCCGGATCTGAGTCCATATCAACCTTACCGAAAGAGTGATCCCGATTTTGGTTCTATCAATATGGCAGAAGAACAAGAGGCCACGGTTCATCAACGGGACGGTATGGGAGCAGTTGATAGTCCATTGGGGGAAGGACGAGACTGCAACGACATCTCACAAGAACTCCAAGAACCGGAAGAGCAATCGTGGCGGGCAAGGTTTGTATGTGCACAACCTCGACGCTTGCTCTATGTCTTCCAAGGAAGATCAACTTGTAAGTTCTATTATTTTTATTTAACTTTTTTAATTTAATAAATATTTTTATATTATTCCTTGGCTAATGGTTATTTTTTAGGTTGAAGCAAATGACGGTAATCCCGTTGATCGTCTTACTCTCATTAAGGAGGCTCACACTAACAAGAAGACGGGTCAAGTTCAAGACCCCGTGATCAGATCTGTCGTTGAGTTGGTGGAAACTCAAAAAGAAGCTCTTCTAGCTTCTCAGCCTCTCTCTGATGACGGCGATTCTACGGGAGCTTCAACCAACATGTTGTGGTTGCAAATCAATGATATGGTTGAAAAGGTAATTTTAATTAATATATTTATTTTATAATGTAGTTTACTTACTAAGTTTAAATATTTTTGTAGGCGGTTCCTAAAAGGAAAGGAGGTCGTTTAGTTGGGTTGGCTCGTCGTTCTTCTTTGGGTCCGGGGTCTTCTTAGCAAGCTTCGTATACCGATCCCATGATTCTGGAGCAGCTACAGAACAAAGATGAACGGATTATGGTATTGCAGGAGCAGAACACCACTATCATTGCTGAGCTGGAATCCCAAAAGAAGACCAACACTCAGATAATGGAAAAGGTAGAATGCTTGTTTCCTACTAAGTATTAAAACTTTGTGTTTTTTAAACTTTATCAATGTTTTTTTTTTCTATTTACATTTGTATGAATTTATATTTTATAATATTATTAGTTTTAAATTTCAGATTTTTTTATTCAGATTAATTTTAAATATAAAAATATTTAAAATTAAAAAAATACAATAAAATGGTATATTCCGACGACATTAGTTCGTCACAATATACCGACGAACGGAAGTCGTCGGAATATACTGACGACGCCAGTTCGTCGATATATTGTGACGACTTCCGCTCGTCGGTATAATGTGACAAACAAATGTCGTCGGAATATTGTGACGAACTAATGTCGTTGCTATATTGTGACGAACTCAGTTAGTCGGAGATAGTGATTCCGATGAATCCTGCCCTCGGAAGTTGTTATCGGAGTTTCGTCAAAAGTTCGTCCGAATATGGTTTCTCGGTGTTCGTCAGAAAGTCTTTGGATGGTCCGACGAAATTCCGACGAATTAGTTTTTTCCGACGAAATGATACCGACGAACCGGTTCGTCAGAAATTCGTCAAAATATGCCTATTCCGACGACTTTCTGACGATTTTGTCTGTCACTATCCGCCTGTTTTCTTGTAGTGGGAGACTAGTGAAGTCAAGACAGTGTAATAATAAACTGCCTTTTAAAACCCTTGAGAACATTTATTGTGGTTGTGTGCGTGTTGAATTGAGTCCTATGTTTACGAAATATTGGGCAATGACGAGTTATAATAATATAACATTTTAGGTGCTAGTATGATTGTTGTAATGTTTACTTTTTTTTTGTCACTGAAAAACTTAAATTAAAAGGCCCAAAAGACCAGCCCAAGAGGAGTGCATTACAAAACAGAATTCTTAAGGACAGCTTTTGCTAACGCATCAGCTTATGTGTCTTCTCTAGGAAAGTGAAAGAAATTGATAGAAACAAATACATAAGAAAGATGGTGGATATCCATGACGATTCCCATGAGTTCCTTCCTCTGTGTCTTGTTGGTGATTGCTCCAATGAGCGTTAGATTATCTGAGGAGATCCAGAGATTTGATATCCCCTGATTCTCAGCCGCGTAGAGTGCTTCCCTGCTCGCCAAATCTTCCGCAATCAGCGGTGAGTTGACAAAGTTTTGTATCGCTGATCCCTTCCATCCTGTTTCCCCCGATGACTCGGTTGAGATCCATGCAAGCCCTGCTCTGAGGAGAACATCATCCCAAGATGCATCCGTTTTACAAACCGTAACATGCGGGGTAAGATTTGGGAGTTCCTTGATCTTGTTTATCTGTGAAGTCATTTGATTATTTTGAGTATTCGCCTCTGAAACCTGAGCTTCACACCATTCTCTTGCGAGGCTTATTCCTCTTGTTGCAACTGTTGCAGGATTTACGCTTTCTTCTTCGAAAATTAGGGAATTGCAGTCCTTCCAGATCGACCAGCACACCCAGGGGAGTATACTGTGTGAGACTCAAGATGGTGGTAGACAGATCACTGATCTAAACCGGACCAAGGCTGCTTTGAAGTTTTCCCTCACAGCTACGTGAACTGTTTCTCTGAGTGATACACACTTCCAAACCTCTTCCGCAAACGGACATAAGAAAAAGGTATGAATAGGAGATCCAATATTCTTACATCGTGGACACTTAACATCTGAATTGATACCCCGTCGCTGTAGGTTTTCACCCAAAGGCAGGGCCTTTTGGACAATCGACCAAAGAAATACTTTCAACTTAGGAGAGCAGGAGGTTGACCAAATGTCCTTGATCCAATCAAATTCATTAGCGGGGAGGTTTCTTCTACGTTCTTGGGAGGGATTAACCATAGCGTTATAGCCTGATCGTGTTGTATAGATCTATGAGGGCAGTGGTTGCCAAATGAAGCTATCTTCTACTCCACTTAGACTAGGTTTGAGGCATTGGATTCTTTCCACAAACTCCGGTATGAATTTTTCGATCATTCTTCTATTCCATTTAAGATCATCAGTGAGTAGGTCAGACACTCTTAGGTCTAGAGCTTCCTCTAGAATAGGACCAAAAGGTTTGATGTGTTCCTCTAGAGACAGCCATGAATCTTTCCAGACTTTTGTAGTTAGTCTATTTCCAATCGCCTTGCCTAGATTTTCCCTAATAAGATCTCTGCCATGTAGAATTCCTCTCCATCCATGAACTAACCGAGGGGGCTTCCACTTCGAGAAAGCTTTGCTTGTGACAGTACTTTCCCTTTAGAATTCTTGCTAGTAAGCAATCTGGAACTGTGATAATCCTCCACGCGATCTTAGCTAGGATATCCCTAAAGCCTAAATCTTCTTCCGCTTTTTTTATTTAGTTAGCCTACTCCACGCTACTCAGCTCATCTTCATCTTGTTGTCTGCACCATCCCACCAGAAACGAGTTAAGACTAATTGTATTCTCTTATATATATTGACAGGTAATTCAAAACATGATAACATGTAGGTTGGAATAGCCATAAGGACAGCTTTCAACATTGTCAACTTCCCAGCTTTGGAGAGGCATCTAGTAAACCAGCTCGCTGCTCTCTGTCTTATCCTGTCTATAATGGCTGTGAAGAGATCACGTTTTCGTCTCTCAGAGTATTCAAGAACTCTAAGGTATTTTCCTCCTTTAGTAATCCCGAAAATTGTTTTTGTAATGTTGACTTAAAATAAATATATCATGGGATTTTGTTTTGTATCTTGTCTATGATGAAACGGTGAGGTTTTAGACTTTTCATTCCCCCTACCATAAAATTAATTAATTAATTATCCATAAGTTAAAGAAGCAGAAGTTGAAGAAAGGTTTCACCTTTCTAATTCGGTCATAAACAGCGGCTGAGCACAGATAAATGATATATACACCAAAAGCACCAATCTAAGAGCCTAAATATCAGAGAGATAGAGATATCACTTTGATAATTTATTCACCATTTACCGAAACTAGAGCTGACATGATCTTGAGCGATGAACCTTAGTCGCTGTTCCATGAGACCCAACGTCGGATATTTTGGGAAACACAGACGGTAAAAGCAAGTTTGAGACGTCGGAAGACGATCATTAGGTTCATGTATCCTGTAGATATAAAGCTTTGATGATAACCCTCTAAACCCTTCCACTGGTATGAACTTACTCGATGTCCAAAAGAAGAGTATACTCCTCCGTTCTTCCTCTGTCATCTTCCTCAAAATCTACAACAGTTAAGGAGATTGATTCCAAAGTTGTTTACAAAAACATAGTCAAGCTTGTAAGTGTTCTTACCTTCCAGAACCAGTCTATTTGGCGGTCTGTTTCTTTGAACCCGTTGTACTCTGTATGTGCTCTCCAATCATCTACGCTTATCTGGTTCTCTCCTCCACGAAGCATCCCATCAAAATCCTCTAGATGTAAGTGACGGAAGAAAGACTGAACAGGAACTGAAAGTATATCAAAGAAACCCTCTGAAAATTTCTTTACTAGCTCAGAGACTGATGTGGTAAATCGTTTACTGATTAGGAGCTTGACGTATTCCTCCCTGTTCTCGCTGCTAACAGCTGTGGATTTCCCGTCTTTTTTAAGCTCTATTGTGTCCCTTTTTCCTAGCTCCTCGGTTTCCAACACAAAAGTTAGACCAAGACCTGCGTTTGAATCGAAAAACACTGGGTCCATCTCTAGAATCTGTTTGCAGCTGTTGTACATGATTCGGTCCGTGTCCTTGATATCTTCCAAAGAAATTGTCTGTTCGGCTAACTGTAGGTAGAAGACGCGATCGAATAGCGCCCCAACTTGAACATTGTGCATCAAAGCTAAAGCAATCACACGACCAGTGAACTTGAAGTAATCAAGATGCAATGGATCCACCTTGGATGCTGAATGTAAGAAAAAACATCAATTATCATTGGAGAGCAAACAGTGACATGCTTAGACTTGTTTCTTGCTACTAATAGCTTCTTAAGTAATTTCAATTCACCGGTTAATCCTTTCAGATGGTCATGCAAGAAAATAAGCTGTAATGTAAGAATATAAGCTATGTCTCTTAGTAAACCTTTCAGTATATAGATCCTAAGCATATGAAATACTGACATACTAAATATGTTAACACTGTATGAATGTTCAAGCAAACTCTAAATTCATTTGTACTTAGGCTGGTGATGTCATGAGAAAAGGACCAAAGCTAACCTGGATTTGGAGAGAATCTTCTGCAATCATCAGCGGATCGAAGGAATAGAGATCCTTTCGGACTAAATAGCTCCTGACATACCAAGTAGAACCATTCTCTCAACACACCAGGACCTGTAGCTTCCTCATTCTTGAATTCCATAAACAGTCCACCATGAAGTCCCCCAGGGCTTGCTTTTGATATGTACTCAAATGACTCAGCTAACAAATTGGACCGATCAATGAGCATTTCGTGCATCTCCTCATAGTCTTCTTTACCGTCAGGAAACAACATCATTGCCAAATGCCTCCTACATTCAAAAGTTGTAGCTTCCTTGTACTCAGAGATCCACGCGTGATCATCCCCTCTTTTCACAAACTTCAAAATGAGGGCGCAGAAAGGAACCTTCCTGGAATTAATAAGACTAACAACCTGTTCCTTACCACCTTGATAGAGTTCAGACATTGAGCTGACAATCTTCAGAATATTAAGATACTGCCCCCACTTCAAAGCCATAGTTTCAGTGTTGGCAACTCCTCTTCCACCCAACTTAGACTCGATTTTCAACATACAGATATTCATTGTATTCAACAACCTCCCAAATATCTGCCAAACCCGCCCGACCTCCGCCTCCAATACAGTACTTCTCAGAGGCAGAGCTATGGGGATTAAGCTAGAAAGCTGGAAATCAATAGCATACCTCAAGGGTCTCCAAAAGGAAGAGAATTTCTGAACGTCGTACGAACTAGGCCCTAAGTTATCATCAACCAACTGTTGATCCATAAGATTAGCTAACTCGCTAAAACAAAGGAAATTCTCTTCCCCAACAGTCAACAATCTATAATGTAAACTAGTAAACGTCGTCCCAGCCTTATCAACAAGCTCCTGAACCGTTTCAAGCAATGATCCCAACGTGTTCCGGCACGACCCGTAAAGCTTGTTGTGAAGGGAGACTCTCCTAAGCAATCTACAAAACTCCAACACAACAGGAAAACAACAGCTCTGCTGGTTATCAGGCAATGATAAGCAACTATTCAAAAAGAGCATGATCGAACTCTCCCCACATGATCTGTTAGTTTCTAATGAAGAGGAGTACAACATGACAAGAGCAGCTGGAACCGAGGAGCTTGTGAAGATCTTGAGATAGTTCTCAGTAGAATGGATATAATCCTCATTAGAATTCTCATCATTTTCCACAGGTATCATCGAAAAGAACGAAGAAACCTTCTCGTTGATCGACATCCCTCGAGGGAGAGGAGGGAGGTTGTTCTCTCCTCCTCCTCTGTGCATTCTAGAGACAATGTACATAATATCATCAACAACTTGGCACGCCACGGGGTGCGCCGTGCTCCGCATACGACCAACGAGGTGTAGCGAAGAGTCTTGCTCGATGGAGTAGTAGCTCAACGAATGCTGATCCTCCAGCTGTTTCCCTTTGTAGATAACACGCTGCTCCATCACCGGAATCTTGGTCTTCAGACTGGTTCTGGCGAGGAGTTCCAGCACGGTGTCGTTTTTCTCCGCGTGGATCACCATCGTCTTCCCTCCGGACATCATCCTCACGAAGAGCTGTAACCGAGTTGACTCGGAGCGAGTTGACGACTCAGTTGTTGAGGAGGACGAGGACGAGGAGGAACAAGACTCTTCGGGTGACGACGACCGATTCTGGGCGGAATTCTCATCGGATCTCCAGGGATTGAAAGGTTGTTGCGACGGGGAGGTGTGATCGGCGTCGACCTCGTGCCTCTTCATCCTGTGGAGGATATCAACGACGCCGTTATCGTCGAATTTCCGTTTGTGGTTGTCGGAGAAACGGCTTAGAGTCATCGAGAGATGATTAAAAGGGGGGGGGGGATGTGTAGCGCCGTGTATAAGGTGTATGTAGAGGAAGGCGATCGGAGGTTTCGTCTGGGTTTAAACAGAGCCGTCACTTGATTTCTCTATACGCCATCTTTAAACTGACGCACACTTTGATTTTTTATTTTTTATTTTTATTTTTAATCTTCAATATCGAAAGGAGACAATTTTTTTCTTAAAGAAGTAATAATATAAAAAGTTTCATACGTTTTTTTTCCTAATTCGTGTAAAAATGTCAAAACTGCATTTATTATTGTGATACCAAAAGTGTATTTTATGGAACATAGATTTGTTTTTGTTATTTTTGAAATAACCAAAAAATAATTAGAACTAATTTATTAGAGAAATAGGAAGAGAAATAGGAAGAGAAAAAAATGAGAAAGAGTGAGCTTTTGGTTAGACTGTTAATTTTAGTTTTTTCTTATCTACCAAGGGCATCTTTAAATATTATAATTATAATCTTATAAAGTTAACTTTAAATAATAATAGTAAGTTAAAACATTACATATTAAAATAATAAACTGAAATATTAGACATAAAAATAAGCTGAAATATTACACATAGGCTGAAATATTACACATTATAATATATACTAGATTTTGACCCGCGCTTGAAAGCGCGAAAACTTTTTATGATTAAAAATTTATGTAATTGAATTTTGTCTTAATTTAAATAATGTTTTGGGATAAAATTAGTTCACCAAAATGTGTGGTTATGATTATTATTGATTAGTTTTTAGTTTCAGTTTTTATTTTAGATTTTGTTTCAGATTTTGGTTTTTGGTGTTTAGTTTTTAAGTTTCTATTTTTGATTTTCAGCTTTTGGTTTGGGTTTTTAATTTTTAGACCCGCTGAGTTAGTTTGAACTGATATTACTAACAAACAAATCCCAAATAATCGAACATCTAATTTAAAACTAAAAAGATGACAAAATTATTTTTAAAAGAAATTTGTAATAGTTTATTTTGTAAATAAATAAAATCAAAAAGATATAATCTTTTTTCAGTTTTTGGTTTTGGATTTTAGTTTTTAGATTTGGTTTTTGGTTTTGCTTTACATTTTTTTTTTAAATCAGTAAATTATTTAAGAGAAATAAAACAATAAATTATTTAAAAGTTACCATTGAAATTTATCAAAACAAATTGATTGTTATTTAAAATAAAAATTACATTAACATGTTTTAAAGTACATGATTTAAATAAATAATTAATAATAGATAATCTTGTTTTGTTTAAAAATATTAAATATCTTTTGGACTTAAAAATAATAACTGATTTTTTGATCCATTAAGATAAAAAGTTTATTCAATGTTTTTTTGGAGTTTTTCCTTAATATTAAGCCCAAAATCCAAACCATATAATTTGTTTAAAATAAGCCCAAGACTATATTCCATAAATAACTATCGATTTAATTTAAGTAATGGGGTTCAATTAACTATATGACTTGTATTATTTGTAAAACTCTAGAAATAATCTAAATTTAAATGACAACTTGTATCAGTAGATAAAAAAAATGACTCTATTTTAATAGAATAGATTTGCTTCCATTTCTTCTTCCATTTCTTTTAGAACTATTTTTTTGCTTGATTTAACATGCGTAAGAGAACCATCTCATTATTTTTTTTTCTCTAGGTGATGCACTTTCTTCCAAAAGATTTATGATTTGTTCATTTGATAAAACAAATTATCCACAGAAGTAATATCTTCATCAAGTTTTCTTTTTTTGAGTTTTTCATTTTTCGATCCAATAAGACGTTGTGACGAATTTGAACCACCATCATCACTATTTAGTAAATGTGTTTACTAATTTTGTCAATATCACACAATAGTATGTATTTATTTTTAATTATTAAACTCTAATGATTATAGTTCATTATTAATAAAATTGAAGACTAAACTATAAAATAAGAGAAAACTAGATAATAACCCGCACGTCTGCGTGCGGATACATTTTCTATTTAGTTATTACGAAAATTGATAAAAATATATTATCACAATATAGTGTTTTATATTATGTAATTGAATATGTCTTGTTCGATATTATTAAAACAACATATATTAATATATATATTTATTTTATTTAAATAAAACAACATATATTAATATATAATTTATTTTTATTTATATTTTTTATATAAATTTATATAAGAAATAAAATATAATAATTATCTATCTAACCCGCTTCATTAAATTTTGGATATTTTCTAATGAAATTGAATTAGATTTTTTTTTTAATATATTTCTCATAGTTTAAAATTTATTTTAATGAATTCAAGAAGCCATTTATTTTATTTAATTTAAAAACATAAAACATCAACTGTAAACTTAAAAATCATATAATTAAATACTAGTATAATTTTGTACTTTTTATAATTTATTTTTAAACTTATTTTTCTAACGTTTATATTTAACTTTGTGATTTAGAACTTAAATAATATTGTTCTAATATTTTAATAATAATTACGAATTTAATAAATTTTTGAAAATTAATTATCAAAAGATTTTATAAGATTTTTTAAATCAAAATAGAAAATATTTAAAAATAAATAGTGTTATAAGAGAATATTCTTATGTGTGATGATATATTTCATTTAAATGATCTAATATATATATATATATATATATATATATATATATATTATTTTTAATATAATAGAGATTACTAATGAAATGATATAATGACTTTCTATCAGTAGATAAAAATAAGACTCTATTTAAATATATTAGACTAGATTTTGGTCTGCGCTTTCAAAGCGCGGAATTATTTTTGAAACAAATCAAATTTATATGATATAAATTTGCATGTTTGAATATATATTTATATTTAAATATTAAACATAAAATGTTATATTCAGTGTTCTTAAGTACAATCCGGATCCATAGTTAAACCAACTAAATCGATGACTTTATATGTAATACGGATTTATTTTTTAAATTCATTATTTAAAAATTCTATAAAAGCTGCAAAAATCCCTCTAAAACCTGAGACTCGAGCACTGGTTCAAAGCGCATGATTATTTTTGAAACAAAACCAAATTTCTATGATATAAATTTGTATTTTTGGTTATGTATCCACATTTAAATGTTAAACATGAAGCGTTATATTCAGTTGTCTGAAATACGATCCGTACTTGTAGTTAAACCAACAAAATGATGACTTTATATGTAATCCAATTTGGTTTTTAAAAAACTCGTCATTTAAAAATTCTATAAACCAAATTTATATGATATATATTTGTATTTTTGAATATGTATATATATTTAAATTTTACACATCAAGCGTTATATTCAGTGTTCTGAAATACAAACCGAACCCGTGGTTAAACCGAAAAAACCAATGATTTTATATGTAACCCTGTTTTTTTGTTTTAAAAGCTCATTATTTAAAAATTATATAAACGCCGCAAAAATCAAGCTAAAACCTGAGACTCGGCTACTGGTTCAAAGCGCGGGGTTATTTTCAAAACAAACCAAATTTATATGATATAAATTTCTACTTTTTTTATTATGTATCTACATTTAAATGTTAAACATGAAACATTATATTCAGTGTTCTGAAACTTGATCCGGACCGGTAATTAAACCGATAAACTGATTATTTTATATGTACCCCGGTTTGGTTTCAAAAAAAAAAAAAAAACTCGTCATTTAAAAGTTCTGTAAACCTGCAAAAAAATTGCTAAAATCAGGATATAACTTGTTAAGTTACTTTATATTTATTACTTGGTGTAGTAATTTAATTATGAATATAAGTTATGTATATAAATTTATTTTTTATTATATATATGAAAAAATGAATTAGTATTCGTTTTACTATATATTTAATATTAATTATGAATTTTATCATTTAAACGTAAATATTAAAAAGATATGTATATCTATATTTTAAATAAATGATATTAAAAGATATTATTATAATCTAATCTTTGAAAAAGATACTTATTAAGAATATCTTTGTAGATATCTTATTTTGAAAATATTATAATAACTGGTTAACATATTATATATTTAATAACTAAGTTAGTTATAGGAGAATAAATAGGAAATTAGATAAATGTAATAGTCAAACATAGATTATTTGCAAGTAGATAAAAATGCTTAAGTTTTAATAGTATTGATTAGATTTTGACTCGCGCTTTCAAAGCGCATGATATATTTTCTTGTGAAAAATCTTATATAATGGTATCTTCTCTTATTTAAAGTACGTTTAAGTATAAAATTCATAACCCAAAGTCCATATTCAACCCAAACTACAAAAACCTATTCATACCCGTTTTGAAATGTAAAAAAAAAAATATTAGAAAAGGTCTTGTAGAGTGGTAATGGTACAAAACATATCAAAATCGGATTAGCCAATCTAAACCGATAATCTGAAAAAACTTTTAGAGTTTTGAAAAATCGATTTGGATGTTCAAATTAATCACACACACACACACACACACACACACACACACACACACACACACACACACACACACACACACACACACACATATATATATATATTTGAAAGATAAATACATAAATCAGAAATTCAATTCTATATTTATTTTTGAGTGATATCTAAAATTAAATATTTCAATTGTAAAAGTATCTTAAATATCAGATTCTATAAAAATAAGTATTTTTTTATGTTTTCTTTTTAAAATCTACTCTATTAAAATAAAGTCATTCTTTTTATCTACTGATACAAGTTGTCATTTAAATTTGGACTTTTTCTAGAGTGTTACAAATATGTAACACAAGTCATATAATTAATTGAACCGCATTACTTAAATTAAACTGATGGTTATTTATGGGATATAGTCTTGGGCTTACTTTTGTTTTTAGAACACATTATTTAGTTTTGTTTTTGGGCATAGTATTAAAGAAAAACTCCAAAAAACATTGAATAAACTTTCCACCTTAATAGATAAAAAATCAATTATTATTTTTAGGCCCAAAAGGTATTTAATATTTTTAACAAAACAAAATTGTCTATTATTACTCATTTATTTAAATCATGTACATTAAAACATGTTAATGTATTTTTATTTTAAATAACAATCACTTTAGTTTGATAA